AAAAAATGCTAAGATGCTACTGTCTCAGATATTCATTAGTTTTAGAAGAAAAGAAACTATTTGTTAAAGGAAAAGAAAGAACTGTATTTGTAAAAGGAAAAGAGCAGACACTTTTAAAAACCTTGCTTAGATTGTGGAAGATAAATAAAAATTCTTCACAAGGTTTTCTCACTAGTGAGTAGCTCATAATTAGATACAGTAATGTGAGCTACATGTTTTCTGAGTGATTTGTAACTTGTGTGGTGAGGTTATTAGTTAGACATGGTTCAAAGGGCAATAAAACTAAAATTTAAGTAGAACAGGTGTATACTGTTACAAACTTTAAGCTATTTAGGATAAACAGTTGTAGTTTTATGGTGGTAATGAGGTCACTCAAATTGACTGAATTCATATAGTTAGGGTAGAAGAAATAACAGATAAGATAAAGTATTACTGAAGAAACGTTTGACATCTATTTACAGGTTATGGAAATGAAATTTGACAATTTTCAAATGAAGAAAAACATTTTTAAACTTAAAATGAAAATCACTGCATTCAAAGCAGTCAACACTTTAACTTCATATGTTCACAGAGAAATGTTTAGTTAAATACTTCATTAAAAATTCTGACTTTTTGTCTACAAAAGACTCATAATGTTTACTGAAAGATTGCAAAATTTCGTGAATCTACGCAAGGCATTAAAAGTTATAGTATGGAAACCCTAAAGTTTAATTTGGGGTTACAACAGTTGTATCTAGAGCTTTAAATAATTCTCTTTTATGTCAAAAGTCCACACAGGCTGGTTCAATGACTTTAGAACTCAATTGACAAGATGAATTATTCTTCTGTATTTCTATTGTTACAATGCAAACTGTGAAACTTTCACTCTAGAAATTGCTGTTACAGCTAAACTGACAATCACGCGATCTAACTTCATATTTTTCTTGTTTACTTTCACTAACTAACTTATGTATCTGCACATATATATATAGCACATGACAGAAAAAGATTGTAATATCTAGCCCTCTAGTAACAACAATATTAAACATAAGGAGGGAAAATTAGAAGCTCTGAGTATGATGATGTCAACAATATTACAAAAGCCTAGTACAAAAATTTTACTACATTCACAATGTACGACTCATACAGAGTTCCTTAACGAAATTTGTCATAACTGTTGCTTTTAAAATAATTAACTTTTAACGCTCTTGTTTTGAAAACTAAATAATCATTAAATATTAAATAACTAAATAATAGTTCTTAAACTGAACAGTCTTGTATATGCAACATCATGTGTTGCCAACATTACAGCATAGAAGCTAAATAACCCCAAAAAAGTGTTTTTAATTTTTATCATTAAAGCAGGTAGAAAACACATACAATATTTTTATTTTTGGACATGCACTCTGAGGGTGTTTTAATGTAATACTGTATGTTGTATTTTAGGTTCCATACAGTAACATTTATCAGTGTGCCTGTTGTCAAAAATTATACTAATTGAGCTCAAATTTTAAATAAACATGAATTTTATGTTGATTATATGACATCAGAGGTATATATATGTTAGTTGCTATTAGAATTTTGTTTGTTTTTGATATAGGCAAATTCACTCCAACAAACAATGCTTTTCAGGCAATATAGAGGTAAATCTTGTGTGTGTGTGTGTGTGTGTGTGTCTGTTTGGAAATAATCAGTTAAAACAAAGTTATGAGAGAAATGTAAATAAAGTTTATTTGTTGCAAAAGTGAAAACTGTGTTTAAACTTTAAGTTACAGACAATTGTCATTATTAATTTATAATTTAGTATGTGAAACCTTTGGACATTGAGCTTGAACTTCAAAAAAAGAAAAAAGGAAAGACTAGTGCTCTGAAAATGCAAAAGAGAAAAGATGATGTTAAAGAACAAGGAAAAAAGGTAAGCTTTATTGTAGAGTATGTTACTTAAATGTATAATTAAAAAACAGTACTTATGATAAATAGAAGCTACAATTTTTGTTTTACTGTAAACAGTTATGTCCAGAGCTAAAATCTTGTATATTTTATTCCAATGTAAAAGCTTTTCAGGTCCTATTTTAACTGTAGAATATACACTAGTATATAATAGATGTACTTCTGCAAGGTCCCCGAAAGTGTTCTGTTACAAGATTAAATAAAACCAAAATTAAGAGTAACGAATATTATTTCTTGTTTTTGAAGTTCATATGTCATGTTGTGTTGTAGCCTACAGAGTGCATAATTCTTCTCATGATTCATGGTATGCGCATGTTTTACTGATGTCACAACAGTACAAATCGCAACATTAAGTGTCCCTTATGTGATGTCATTTTAGTGTCTACTGACTGACTGATAGACAATACACTACTGTATTGTGAAGCGAGTGGTTAAAACAGGTGACCCCTTCTGGTGGCCTTTGGTCCCATTTCAGGGAAATGATACCTGTAGCAAAAGTATTGGGGTGCTGATTACATATTTTTGGCCATGCAAGCCTTGTGTTATACCAGAATGCAGTAAATATATTGTTTTTTTAACTATTTACTGCTACTGAACAAATGTGTCGTTAATCAAATTCTATAAACTAATTAGATTTGCCAGTTTACATAATTTTGCATTATACTGAGACATGGACAGCCATGATGAATGAAACTATTTCATTAAAGGTTTATGATAAGTAGAGCATAAATTATCTTTAAAATAGACTCTCCCAGAGATTTAAATCCATTAAAGATAAAAAAAATCATACTAAAACTGTAAATCAGAAAGAAAAGGTAGAAAATGAGCAAAAAGTATCTATTTTAGGGAAATCATCAGTTTTTGTGACAGCCACACTGCCATAAAATGGGTTCTTACAAAAGTTTAGTGTTCCAATATTAATTTTTAATATTAACTTCAGAATTGCATTGTTTACTCTTGAAATCCTTATTATCTTTGTTTATTAAAGCAAACTTCCTATTGGAAAAATAGAGAACTGCACTCACATTTTGTATTAGATGAACACAAAGCACATTAAAAAAATTCCTTATAAGATTTTCAAGATAGAGATAGCATTACACTAAAAAATAACCTGAAATTAAATTTAACAAAGTAAATATAAAAAAAATAAAGTTGCTGAATTACAAGTTAGACAAAGCAAAAGATACATGAAGTTAAAAATGTCAGAAATGTTAAGGAAGAATTGTGTGATAATTTATTTAGCTTCAATCTTCAGAAACAGTCTTAGTAACCCTCAATGTACAGAGGTTAAGTATAATATATTAAAATGACTTTGGAGACACCATATTCTTACAGTTTATGTTACTACACCCAGTCATGCCTTGATGGCCATGAATCTTGACAATAGCCCTGCAGTGTAGTTTCCATTGCAAAAGACTTCATTATGAGGCTCTCATGTCTAAAGCACACCACTTTTCCATGCCTAACTTTCATAATCCATTTGGTATAGAGAGACATCGGTTTCTTAGTGACCATTTCAAAAGTCCATTTGTGCAATAATTCATAGATGCTGTATCCAGGAAGTTGACTGGCATGTGTCTTCATATGGAATAGCGTGAATATCCATTTCATTCAATGGCTGCTTGAGGTATGCAATGGTTGAATGGGAGGTATGAATGAGGCTTTATCTTGGTGAGCCTATACCCTGTTGACCTCATTTCCAGAAGAGATCCTTCTTGGTTGTGTGTTTCATAGTGTTGCATGGAGTATGTAAATATTTTTTACCAGTGACCTTTGTGTTCATGAATTCTCACCTGTTACAAGATGCTGCTTACCATGGCTGGACTTGTTGCAGGTCTTTTTGTAATGAACCTAGTTTCCTAAATTGATCCATATTCTTTTTTTTTTTTCATTGCCATTATATTCAAGGAATATCCCTATCTTGGAATTCTAAATCTCCAATCCAAACACATCTTTATGATCTGAATGTATGAATATCTTGTAACATGACCTTCCCAAAAACAATTTGTGGTGGCATCACACTACCTATGAAATGCCAAACAATGTCAAAATATACTTCTGGTACATGTTGTTCTACTGTGACTTTTGTTACAATCCCATATTACTGTACTGTATAATACTTAAAAAGAAAAATAAAGACACATCTGCAATTTTGTAGATTTAAAGATATATACTAGCTGAGTTACCTGGTGTTGCACGGTGAAAATTTAGATTTGAAATGTATAGGTCAGTATTTTTTCAGCAAATTATTCAGTAAGTAGACAAAAGCTGTGATGCGAGAAATAAAAAAGCATTTAATCAAACAAAGCTTTATTTGAAATTAGATCGTGTTTGAGCTTGTCTTGTTCTGCATAAAAACCTGTCTTATTTTCAAAAATGGTTCTCAATAATTCTCATAAAGTACAAGGCTTACAAAATTTAAGACTACTTCTTAAATTTACAAACTCTTTTGAGTCATAAACAAAAAGCTAATGATAGCTTATAACAAAAACCTACGATTAATATCTAGGTTTAAAAACTCTTTCGAGTTCAATACAGAAATCTGTCTGAAATGGCCTCTCAAAACTAAACTAAACCAAACTTCTCAAAAAACAATTCCTCTCTCTCTCTATCGCTAATGGAAACTTGAGTTTTATATAAAACCCCAAAAAAATGTTACAGAGAGTGAGCAAGCTAAAAACCATTAGTTACATGTCATTGATTAGGTAATACACCTGCAGCACCTCATAAGTAACTTTTACAAAAAATATTACAAAAATACTTCATTGTAACACTTTACATCTGCAGTGGTTGTCACACGGCTTGCTGATTTGCATATTCTGAATTGTTTTAATATAACGAATTCATCTCTGTATTTGCCCTGTTGCCAGGGGGTACATATAGATAAGTACATTGAAGTCTTCTTCCAGAAACACCCAATTGCTACTACAACAACTGGATGATAAATTAAAAGGGACATTTCATCAGTTATTATGTAGATGATACCTGAATGTTTGTTAAAAGAGATGATTGGGAATGAATATTATCTTATAAAATTTGTGTACTGCCTACCTACCTATTCCCCTCCCTTTTTCTTTTTATAACATCATATAATGTTTAGGGACAATAAGGAACCTATTGGTCCATCTCGGCTGTTCCATCCTCTAAATTAAATTAAATTAAAGATATAAAATAAATAAAATAAAAATCTTTAAGCCAGACCATTTATTTGCCCAACTCGCTAAATGATCTAAATCCTTTGTTAAAGCAGCAGTATCCTCTTCACAGTTAACAACACCCAAGACCTTAATATCAAATTTAAGTAATTTAATGACCATTTCTTCACCAATGTCATTTATGTAAATCAAAAAGAACAAAGGTTGTAAGACTGAACCCTGAGGTACCCCACTTGTGACATTAATCCAGTTTGACTGAACTCTGTTTGTAACAACCCTCTGCTTTCGTCCATCCAATTTGCTAACTTATCCTCCACATCGTTTATGTGGCACTTTCTCTAAAAATCCAGGTGCACCAAATTTACACTCTTACCCTCATCTACATAAGCAATAACCTTTTCAACGAATGTCAAAGATTTGTAAGTCAAGATTTTCCCTTAGTGAAACCATGTTGACTATCCATTAAAATTCTAAACTTTGTTAACCCTCTCTAGACGGGTTGTCACATTTGTTGACTTGCATTCAAAATTTTATTGAGCTACTATTTCATGATTTTTTTCAAAAAATGTTTTGGCACGTGTGTAATGTTCAATCTTAAAAACTCAAAATTTTTAAAACCAACGATTATTTTATACACAATTCTATAAAAATGAGATTGTTTCCAAATTATTAAAATACAATAACTTACTGTATACAGAATAAAAATTGTTAAAAAAAACCCCAATGAAACTGGAAAACAATCTCGTACACTACATGTTTCAACGTATACTATTGCATCATCCTCAGGAGGATGTTTTTTTTTTAAATTTTGGGTTTTTAAGATACTATTTCATGACTTTATGTCAACAAGCTTGGTATCAAACTGTGGATTATAATTCAAATTTTAGTATTATACATCATTTAATTTCTTAATTTAAAAATAAATATTAAAAAAAACGAACATTGATTTTTGTGTGTCACATGGTATGTTGAATGCGGCACTGTTTCAAATTAGATGTTTGTGATGTCAAAATACTAAGTCTATAGTTTCATATGAATTAGGACTCAAATTACTGATATTGACAAGCGAGAATACAAAATAAGAACCTCTTGTCTTTTCTATTTGCTAAGATATTGCTCATGTAATAAATCAAACACAGTGGCAGCCTGCCCACCTCTTTCCATTCTTGGAAACACTTCCCTTATATACACTTACTTCAATATATGATGTGAATAACCAATCGGAAGCTCAGAATGTCCCCCTAGTGTCTTTCTCAGCCATTTTAACGTGTTTGAACGCCATCTCTTTCTTTTGAACCAAGATTTCAAGGAGGTAAGTTGTGTCTTTGTCTGCTTGAAATTTCATATTTTTTTAGACAGAAATACAGCTAAGTTACTAAGCTTGATAAATTATAGTGGAATTCTATGGTATCAATGGTAATTTATGATTTTTTGGTTATTAAACTGTAAATATAAAAAACCTAAAAAATTATTTTGTTTCCTATCCTCCACGTGCTAAATTTTAAAAGGCTTAGCAACTTATGTTAAGCAGCAACCGAGTACAAAGGTCATAACTAGAAGAGATAATTGTTTGCTTTATTTATTTATTTATTTAAAAAATAAGTTTAAGAATTTAGTTCTAAATAGTAATAATCTACATACGTATATAATGTATAATAATGGAAATGTGACTGTATTTTGCAAAATACTAGTCGGCTAAAACACAGCCAAGACAAAGATCACTTTGTAAAGGTCAGTTTTATATTATTGGGTATGAAAACAGGAGAGCACACGTGCTGTGTCATTGTAACTTCTGTATTGTTAGCTGGGC